AGGAGAGGGGAAATAAGGAGAAGAGGGGATGAGAGCTTGGAAGTAAAACAGAAGGATTATGATGGCAAAAAGGAGACAGTCTGCAAAATAAAGACCTCATAAACAAGTTAACAGGACAAGAAAGATAAGAGAAATAATGATGTATCTGATTTCCAATAAAAAACGCCTACCTTTTGAAGCACACTTGTACAATCCATCAAAGACATTTTTGTAACTGAAATGAAATATTAGCAATCACAACATTACTATTTCATGCAAATTTCAAGCGATTTTTTGTCATATTGTGGTTCCAATCATCAAAAATTAATCAAATGATCCCCCTTTGCTGGTAAGAAGAATTGCACTTACTTTCTTCTTTTGTCCAAAGGCAGTTTTATATCGTTTTGCATCCTATCCACAGACAAAAAATCATTAATAGATGCATTGAGTCGAACAAAGAACATCATGCAAGGTTCTCAGGGAAACCTTACCTAACATTGATCATATCAGCTGGGTTTCCAACAATACCACCAATAAATCCTGGCAACAATAATGTACATTAGAATATAGGTAATTCTAATTTTTGGACACTACACTTTTCCCATTGCCTAGTCGCAGTCATCCCTTCATTTTTCACATTTTAGATCACTAGGTATCATCTTGGCTGAGCATAGTCCTTGTCCCAACACTAAGAAATGAACCCAAACCCTAACCTAGTCTTTCTTTTCTCTTCTAAGGTGGTATAATCCCATTACCAACCCCCTATAGTCATAGCAGAAAACAGGTAACCCAAACCCATATAAAAGACATAGAGCTGGGGAGATGCCTGTGAAGGAGATTATCTAGTAATGAAATCTAAAAAAGTCTAGTTGTTAGAAATCAATTTGGTAGCCAGTAATCATGGCTGGTATAATATCCTTTAAAATACTGTTGCTGCATCTTTGACATTCTAAGCAGAAACCAAGATGTTATAAATGATTTTACAGATTTTACTCACCAGAGCATGCTCCTAAAGTTATCTTTTGGTAAAACGGTAGGGGTTCTGTAAGGCAAAATTATTCAGCCATTACTTTGTTGTTGTGAGCCACCTTATAATCTTGATCATTAAGGAGGAAGTAATTAACTCAGGGATGCGAGAGGACTCAGAAGTTAATATGCTGGTAAGAAGAATTGCACTTACTTTCTTCTTTTGTCCAAAGGCAGTTTTATATCRTTTTGCATCCTATCCACAGACAAAAAATCATTAATAGATGCATTGAGTCGAACCAAGAACATCATGCAAGGTTCTCAGGGAAACCTTACCTAACATTGATCATATCAGCTGGGTTTCCAACAATACCACCGATAAATCCTGCCAACAACAATGTACATTAGAATATAGGTAACTCTAATTTTTGGACACCACACTTTTCCCATTGCCTAGTCGCAGCCATCCCTTCATTTTTCACATTTTAGATCACTAGGTATCATCTTGGCTGAGCATAGTCCTTGTCCCAAAACTAAGAAATGAACCCAAACCCTAACCTAGTCTTTCTTTTCTCTTCTAAGGTGGTATAATCCCATTACCAACCCCCTATACACCTTTACCATAATGGCCACCATCTAATTAACATAAATCTTTAAAATCATCACGATGGTCTGTTGCTAGGACTTTTCCTCCCGCATCGCGGGCTCTGAAACTACCAGCGGCTCTGAAACTCTCTTCAGTAATATAGGGACAAATCTCTGTTCAAAATGAAGCAGAGTATTACGAAANTAGCAGAAAACAGGTATCCCAAACCCATATAAAAGACATAGAGCTGGGGAGATGCCTGTGAAGGAGATTATCTAGTAATGAAATCTAAAAAAGTCTAGTTGTTAGAAATCAATTTTGTAGCCAGTAATCATGGCTGGTATAATATCTTTTAAAATACTGTTGCTGCATCTTTGACATTCTAAGCAGAAACCAAGAATGTTATAAAGGAATTTACAGATTTTACTCACCAGAGCATGCTCCTAAAGTTATCTTTTGGTAAAACGGTAGGGGTTCTGTAAGGCAAAATTATTCAGCCATTACTTTGTTGTTGTGAGCCACCTTATAATCTTGATCATTAAGGAGGAAGTAATTAACTCAGGGATGCGAGAGGACTCAGAAGTTAATAATAGTGATTGTTGCCTATTTATTGGTGAAAATAATTGATTTAGATCACCTAGCACAATTTTAAGAGTCTTCAAAAAAGTTTGTTTGGAAAATATACTGTATAGTAAATGCTATTAAGACACGGCATCATGTGTAAAGCTCAGTCAATTGTGAAAAACTATTGTGTTTTCACAAATGACTGAGCTTTATGCATGGCGCCTCGTCCTGAGTCCTTTGTGTGTGACTACTGCGGCAAAAATCACTATTATCTTTTCAGAACTAAAACATTTACAAGGCTGGTCCTTTTGAAAAATTAACCATCACTCGTGAGAGATCTTTTCAACACTCGAAGATAAAAACAAATCTCCGAGCATCCATGTAATATCCTCTATGTATTAAGCCATTCCCCTGTAGTATYGGCTCTCTTTAAACTTACCACTTCCCTTTCTAAGCTTTCCTGACCATATTTCATATAATCCATATCTTGTGGTTGAATATGTGAGCTGGAAAAGAATTCAATAATTACTTTTAGAGCAGATTTCTTATGACTGTGCAAAAGCACGGATCACAACACGGACACGGCACGGCACGGCACGGTCACGGAATCTCGCCTTCTAGGATTTCAAATGAAAGTAAAGATTTTCCAATGCATCACGGCTACGGCACGGTACGGACACAGCACGAACGTACCGTGTTTTTTTGCACAGTCATATGAAATCCGCTCTATTGYTGAGTTAGAGTAACATCATTAGGAATTGATTTGCTGCTGGTAGAGGATTCCAACCTAATGGAATACTTACTTGTCTTAGGATTGATGCTGAGAGCCCCTTGTATAATCCAAATATACCTTGGTGTTTAACCACATGCACTGCCATTCCAGAAAGACCTTGTGTAACATTTTGTTGTGTTTGTAATTGCACCTGTAGCACATTGAATGGAGSTAATATCAGTATTCATTTGTTTCTGTTCACAAGAAACAAATGTAATACTGCARAAGCACTTATACACAATTAATCAATAAACATACACACTTTGTTGTTGTTCTATTAAGAAAATAAATCGAAGTGGTCAGGATTTGAATAATAATTTARGCTAATGATAAGTTTATTTTTTGCAGATATCATTTACATTTAAAGCAGGTAAGTTTTTTCAAATGGTGCCTCAATCAAAAATTTCAGTCCAGTCTCGGATTATCTTTACAGTGTGATAGACTTGAGGCTGCTAATGTACATAAGATCTGAAATAATTAAATTCTTCTGGAGAAAAGGCTGAACTACTTAGCAACAAGTGAGATTTGTAATTTCTAGCTATTGAAGATAATCCAACATGGKGAATAAATCAAATGTTAACTAAAGCATCGCCTTTGGAACCACAAGGATGACATTAAATTCAAGCACCCTTTAAAAATCATGGGAGCCCTGTGCATTCTTAAATGTCATGTCAATTGATATACTACAGCAACATATAGGCATTATTAATACTTATTGAAGATAATCCTAGTAAGTCAAATGTGATTTCTAATGCTATGACAAAACACTTAGTTTATAACTTTAAACCACAAATTCATGATGTTTATTATGGCAACCCTGTGCTCTGTTTCTGGGGAAAATTTGTCATAAGGTTTCTATACAGCTACAAATTCATGTACAACAATTTACATATTCAGATTCCGCATCATTGATTTGTTATGAAATATCCCTAGGGAGTCCCTAGTAGTTTTACATCATTTTTCATCCATGTACGATTGAAGCAACCAAGCATTGAGCAAAAAATAGCCATAAAACACTGAATATTTGACATTTACCCACAACACATTCTTGTGCTAAGAAACTTAAATAGAAAAAAAAAATGCACAATGCAGTCTTTCACCTTYAATGGTATACCTCTATGCTATATCTATGAAAACATCATTAACCACGATCTACTATGTTACTAAATTTATATATTCAATAATTTAAAGAAAGATACTCTTCAAAATATCCGACCTGTGAAAACGGGAAAACACACGTTACATTTCATAATCAAATATAAAACCAAAAATGAAACACACTTATAATAACAAAAGATATCGCTTTATATTCTATACAAAATCGATGGAATATAAAAKAATTAGTTTTGACAAACGTGCTGTGATGCATGTGCCCAGGTSAAACGTCAACAGAACACACATGATATAAGCTTATTGCATGAGTAGAACACAATAGCATTGCTAAATAATAATAAAAAAGTTATAATCTTGACTGCAATTACTTGCTTTAGACGAATCTTTAGCAAAGACAAATAAAGTTAAAGATTTTGTCAAAATATGATCAAAAAATTGATGTGAATAAAGTGCATGTACGTCTCTGGTTAACACTCCTTCTCTTTAGGAAAATGAAATTTTAAAATCAAGTTTTACTTGGTCAAATGAAGACATAATTAATAACTTCTATAGCTTCCCTTCATTACGTTTGCAAGTTACAACTGATTTGCAAAATTTCAYACAATTRCATTGCAGCATTTTACCTTGAGTAAATCCAGTGGGTGCGTAAATAAGACGGCCATTCCTGATGCAATTCCACCAAGATACCATCTTTGTTTTTTCACAATTATCTTACTTTTTCCACTCTCAGCTCCTTCTTTGGAGGCTGTAGACATTGTGTTAAACACAAGGTAGCCTTCGACTATTGTATTTTTACCGTATTCACTCTATTATGGCCTCAATAGTAAATTTGACCGACCATTGTTTGAATAGCAAATACCCAAATATGTTTTTTGTCCACAAGTGTGACATGTGACACGAACCACTACTTTTCATTTGTGCATTGCGTGATGAAACGTAACGCAATATCGTGTCCAGTGCAGCTAGTAAAGCGAGAATTTATTGAAAATGAATTTAAGAATTCAAAATTGTTAAAGGAATGTTCTATAACAATATATTCTCAAAAAGGAATCCGCTTAGAGTTTGATCTTCTAGCATTTTCTACTTTATAGATATGATATAATGGGTTACCTGTGGAAAATATTACTAGTCTTAGTCCCTWACGTAGCTGGCACAGGAAGCCAGTTATTTTAGATAGCAAAAATATTTTAAAAGCAGAAAACGATGTCCACWGATCAGTCTGTTTTCAGTAAGTGGTTGTCAAGGTGTCTTATAAATRCTGTCAGAAGGAGTGGTAAAATATCTGTGAGCAGTTGTTAATAGGGTGTCAATAAATGATTTCTTTTAATTGGGTGTTGATTGATTGCATTTATTTTCTATTGCAATAAATAGATCAATAAATATAGTATTACTGCTAGTAATACAATTTTTTTCTGTGAAAAAATTGGTCAACTAATAGTCAACTAATAGTCAGTAATAATTAGTTTTTTTTTGTTCACTATCCGCTCGCTAGTCAAAGAATTTAACCACAGTTGAAGGATAAACAGTATACGATTCATTTATTTTTATCGAAGTGAAGGTGTGGCCAGCTAAATGCCTTGTGTTAACGGTTTGAAATAATGAAGGTGTCCAGGAATTATTACAAAATGTTATTTTTTGACAACATAGAATAATTGCTCTGCAAACTTTTTAGGTACATTGAAGAATGCTATAATATTCACACATCTGTGCTTCAAACTAACATCCTAATGAACCCCTCAATGTTAGACTTAATCACCTGCTAAACATCTGATGCAGACTATGTAAAGTAAGAAATGATGTTTGACTGCCTGGATATTCATATACAAATCATAGCATCATCCAGATTTTAAGTCGATGGCTCAAGATGTCTTGTCACTTGTTGCATTAAATTGATTCCACAGCCTGTGCTCTCGCAATTGTGGTACTTGCTCATTCACAATGCATTTCAGCCGCCTCATACCAACATTTCCAGTAGCAAATACAATCCATATAATGACAAGTAATGTAGTTAAAACAATYGATGCACAGACAACTCCAAATATGGTGATGACTAGTAGAAATGTCGCAATTGATAGCAATGTGCCTTCAATAAGCATAAAACCAAGCATAGTAAACATAAAAGTTGTTATGACAAATGTTGCAAATAGCAACAATGGTAGAAYGGACAGACCGGTAAGTATTCCAATAAATAGGGTAATGAATGGGTGTTTATCAGCAAACTGCAGCAAYGGTGCAGCTGCATTCTTGAGGTCAAGGTCATTCCATTTTTGCAGCAAATGCGATGACAGTGACTTTTCTACTCTCCTTGKATTTTCAGCCATTTTTATCAGCCTGTTATTTGAGAATGAAAAGAATTGAAAATATTTTAGTGTTAAGCAAAATATCATTTTCAAGAAAAATAGCAAATGAAATRGTTATTGATTAGAATAGATGCAATGGTACGTGGTTATGTTTTAGTGTCCCTGTGTATGTTGAGAATGAAGTATCATTGAATATGTAAAGTGATGTAATCACTGTGTTCCCGTAGCTATGGCTAGCTAAAGGTAATCAATCAATAGTCTTCTAAATGCAGGGCATTATACAGTTAAATAGTATGGACTGAGGGAAAATTACACAATGGCTGTTAGTGCAACTAACATATCTGCCCTCATTCCCTTCAAAGAAAAGCTTTGATATACATCACATTTTTCTGTTAGAGACTAAAAAGTATCGTGCATTTGAAACAATTAGACGACTAGCAAGAGGTCGATCCGAGGACCGGAAACTGGATCAAGTTACGTCTGGTCGTGCGACAAGCAGTATGCTACAGTTTTCTGCCTGGACAAAAAAAAMCCCTAAATATTCAAACGGAAATGGAAAATCAAGCTTTGCATCTAACATTAATAGCATAGTAATCACAKAATGCAGAGAAGAAATATCGAAACAATAAAAATCTCCTCTAACCTACAAACTCACACATGACCAAATTTTATACTATTTGAAAGCGAACTGCTTAATCAATTCTTACAAAAATAAGCCTAAAACATAGAAARAACAAATAGTATTCACCTGTTAATCAGCTATCCCTGTTTGTGTTTGAATTTTGTCTTCCACCCAAGAGCCCTATCAAGATTGTTTGGACGGAATTTTTTTAGTCCTTTTGATGACAGAAATGCACCATGGGGTGAGACCGAGCAGTCCTGGGCACATTTCTTGCGTAAACCCTACCGTACGCAAATCGTTTACGCAAGAAAGGAAATATATACAAAATACAAAAAWATACAACAATCTGGGCTGTTCAAGTATAGATAGGATATCTTCCTGAGCACTGCCAACTTGTTGCGCAACAAGAGATGGACCATGAAAAGTGAGAAACAATGACGCTAAACTAAGAAGAGCAATATTGCGTTGTAGATATCTACAAGTTGGGTATATCTCTCTGTCTTAAAATTGAAAAAAAAAACATAAATCAATTTGAGAATGAACGCAGTAAAAACTATATACAAAASAAAAGCTGGATTACTTACTTTGAACAGCGATAAAAGTTAAAGAGAGAAAGAAAAAARCAAAAATTAACAAAAGAACTGACAAAAATAAATAAGAGTAAAATAAAAAGACGACCGTGCTGAGACTCGAACCCATGACAACAAAATCGAAAAAGGTTGGGACGATTCCCCCGAGACATTCTRTGAAGCTGAGGCGGCGAATCGATTTACATTCCGGTTAGAGATTTCGGCTCTTCCATGCTATCCCGATAATTGGTCCTAACTTCGCGCTAACTAAAAAAGCCAGTGAGGGAGAAGCTATCCGGCCCCTAGACACTGATGGATAACCCCTTGCACTAACTAGGCAACTATCGAAAATATAATGTCAAATTGGGGTAGTCTATTCGGTGAAAGTGTCAAGTGGTCTATTATTATGTAAATGAGCGTGGTATAGTGGCGCAGCCCGTTAAGGCTCTGCTTTGGCAGACCCAGTGGTTTGCGGTTCGAATCGCATTCTTGATGTCGCGCCTTTTCAGATTAGCGAGACGATTCCCGATCACACTATTTCCATTTTTCTTTTCTTTTTTCTTTTTATTTACGACGAAATTGCCAATTTTACAGTCGGCTTTCTACAGATAAATTATTACTGATACTAAATTTTATTGGATATTTTAAACGAAGTTCGGGACCCCGACAGTGTCACGAAAAACTGTTGTATACTATGCCGAGCGGCGAAGAAGCTTTAAATTGTCAACTGAATTCGGTCAAAAGGAAGACTATCTACACCTAAATACAGTAAAGTATCCTTGATTAGACTGGRTTTACATTTTACTGTGATTTGGACTCCCGGACATATAGTTTTCCGTGACATTCTGTCCGGGAGTTCGTCCAGAAACGTGAAAAACTTTAGTGCCAAGTCGATTGTATACTATGCCGAGCGGCGAAGAAGCTTTGGATTGTCAACTGAATTTGGTCAAAAGGAAGRCTATCTGCACCTAAATACAGTAAAGTATCTTTGATTATACTGGATTTGAATTTTACTGTGATTTTGGTGAATTATTTTGACTCCCGGAAACTTCGTATTTTAAAACAGGTAGACCGTGAGTTTGAGCGGACTACGAGCTAACTAGTCCATGAGGACGTCCACTCAGCCGATTCCGTAGCGCATAATAAAAATGCATCAACACTTCCATAACAACAAATACACTTCGTTATTAAATACACAGCACCCGATACTTCCAAGCTATAGGGAGATCTCAGGAAATCATAAATTAAAGATGTATTTCCAGTCATAATCCGTTGCGGTATCGGCCGCCGATCGCAAAACGAATGCTCTGCGACATCAGGAATTGAGTTTTGGTGATTTGAATTTTTTTGCTACGGACAGAATGACTGTGTAGACTTATTTTTACGTCTTTTGATCCAGTTTCACGTTTTCTCCAGCATTTTTTACGCTTGAGTTTCCTAGGWATATATTATAATCTATCATCGAGAACAACCAAAAAGTAAAACGCAGTTTTTAGGCTGGCTAGAAGAATACGCCAGTGAGAAACTCCGCCACGGTCGTCATATACTGACAGCTCATCATTACTGATTTATCATCATCATCATCATCATAGTGTGCTGATCAGTTATCATCATTATCATCTGTGAGTTATATGCCACCTGCTTGATATCTGGATGGTTCTACGAAAGCCGGTAAATGACCGGAGGATATAGGTGTAATATAAAAGACGAACATACGAAGTGCATGTGCGATGTAAATTACGTGAATAACGGCCTAGACAAGTACTGGATGTGATTTAGCAATCCGTGGTATAGTGCTTTGCGCGTGCGCGTGTAAGGTGTGGTTATATTGGTCAAAACTAATATACACATGAAAACCRTTTTTACATATTTTATCACGTCGCAGTAGCACTTCTGTTACCAAGGAGCAAACGCCTCTACTATCATCAATCTCTTTCAACTATTTTAACCTCATTAACGGCCATCTACCAGAGCAAAACATATTCAGAGATGCTATTTTAAAAACCCCATTTAATCATAAAGTCAGTTTGGGTYTTTAGCCYGAGGACGCCGCGGAGATATAGAACACTTACTCGTTTTAGACAACATSCATCATTTTGAAATTAAAAAGAAGATAAACTGCTCGCGATAAGCAACGCTGTAGGACTAACTATAAAACTGAATTAAAAAGAGTTTCTGTTGCTTGTGGGAACACTTTTGTGGTTCTAACAGGAAAATGATGCAGTTTTCACWATAATGGCGACGGAAATGAATCCTCCCACTAATAAAACAATTTGAATCAAATAAGGCCCTGTTTTCAAGATAGGATCAATACTAAGCTTATGTTTGTTCTATGCAATGATTTGAAGTTTTTTCAAAGCCTCTGATCTTTTAGCCCAAGTGAGTGACCGTATATTAATTAAAATGTTCACATGGACAATATTACTTCCGAAAAAAACTAATTCCATTTCAAAATTAAAAACAAGAAAAGATTAATATGATGGAAAATCAATTTTAATGATGGCAGTTTGTGAAATGTAATGAACTTGAAAGGTTACAGTTTTCAARAAACGTGCGAATTAAATATCAAGTCCTTTGAAACCTATCAGACGGTGGTCGGTGGAATTTACTATAGCATATAATTTGTTCTTTCTCAAATTCACAGTATTTTCTGTTTTTTAAAAAAATACGTGTTGACACATAATGAATAAAAAAATGAAAAACAATCCTTGAAATGTTTTAAAAAACAAACTGCACTGAAAACAGGTTTTATCATGGATGATGACCCTTTTGCAACTCCTTGTAGAAAATTAGCAACGCCTAGTCCGATGAAATATGAGCTTACCTTTGCAAAGTTTTGCTGGTTCTTGTGTACTGTTTATTCKAGCAATCTTAAAATGGAGGAAATTGAGAATAATTTTAAGGGTAAATAGGAATAGTCCAAATTTTCAWTCAGCGCTCAACTAAAAACGGAAATTTCTTGTCTTTAAAGTAAGCTTTATTCGATGTCATTACGCGCCCTTCAGGACGCTACACATTCTAATGAAGTAGAGTTTTATTTATACAATAGTATTCGACTCTTTGCTGTCGCCCCGGGCAAAATAACATCGATAAACGCGGAATGGTTAGCGAGGCTTGTTGATCGTAGGTAAGATAAAGTCYAAGAATACTGATGAAAATTAGTATTGCGGAGAGATAAGTAAAAAGCCGTGTTATTCAACAAACTGGCAAACAGCTGCTCGCTCAGTTAACAAACAAATACAACAATAAATGATAAACAATGCAAAGCTTTAGGGAATGGAAATGCTGCCGGTTAATGAAAAGAGGTGATTATGAAAATGGCAGTTAAATACATGTAAGGTATCTTAAACGTTGTCCATATTAAAGCAAACCAGAATTTTAAARCATCGCGGCACGGCGACCAAAAGATTGCAAAARAGATATATGAGTCATAAAATGTTGGTGGTCCGRGGTTGTGGGAATAACTGCTGCTGTCTCCATATCGTTCAATCTGCACATCCGCAGTCATGATGGAAATGATGATGGAAATGATGCTTAAGACAATTGATCTCTCTCCCTCCCATCACACAGATTATAAACAGCGTCTTCTGATAAACTGTACAACAATGAATGCTTAGACGAACCATAATTACTATTCAAGCCAACCACTTAAACAATAACAAAAATCATGGATTGTTGTTCTACAATTTGTCTGTGTAGAGTCGCGTCCGTTTCCACAGAAACATCTTTTGTCCCCTGACCAAGGAAAGATCGAAAAKACTAATCCTTAAACAGCTCTTTATGAAGAAATTCAAATGTCATAGAGCCATAGAGGACCTTCAGYTWGAAACCGAATGAGAACAATGAGTTACGTCATAAATGACGTCAATTTCATCCCTAAAATAGCTGTTCACCAATCGGCTAATTATTACATTGTTGAAAATGGTATAATGACGTCACTGATGAYGTTCTCTACGAAAAGAAGGATTAATGATATTATTTTTGTCGTAAATTGATTTCACGAAATCWAACTTTAGAGCTGTACTCGAAGAATATTTCAGCTTAACGCAATATTACCATGTAATGGCTGCACAACGGCAGATATCTCAAATTGAAAATCACGAACATCAAATACTTGTGGACGACCGAYGAGAGACATTTCATGACGTAATCGTACCAAATCTCTTCAGTTTTAGCCATGTCTGGACATTAGAAAAATCACCTGTTTATAATGGTTCATAAGTGGTGTTTTTAGCGCATTTTATTGCGACACTGGAGCATTTCTGAAACAATCCAGCTTATTTTGATTGATTTTTATTGTTATTTTAATCCTAAGATTACGTTTGGACCCAAAAATTCCTGCAACGTATCGCTGATAAAGCAAACGGATCTCATACCCAGTCTCAGATCCGTCTTGTTTTGCCGTTTGCCTCAGAAATYTACAATTATCAAACAATAATAATGATGAGTTGCACTGCTTTTAAATTGCTCGTTTTATTTTAACTCATTTGATCAGCTTTAATTTATTACTGCTGGACAAAACGCATACTGTTCCGGTCTGAAAAAAATACCGAGTATTCCATTAGAAGGTCGAACCGCTGATCAAACGTTCGATTCTCCCAAGGCTGTCGCTTGATCTGTGCTGTTCAGTGGGTGTGGAAGAAGCGATCGAGTCGTTGTCGTGTCCTCCAACATGGTGTTCGAAGGCTGTTGCTTGAGTGAAGAAGAGGCCGATCAGAAGTCTCGATCGAAGAAAATCGACAAACAATTAGCACAGGAAAAGGCACAGCTACGTCGTCAAGTTAAAATCTTGCTGCTCGGTGCCGGCGAGAGCGGTAAAAGTACCTTTCTAAAGCAAATGCGAATCATTTATGGCAAAGATTTCTCTGCAGAGGATCTTAACGAATTCAAACCAATCGTGTATAGTAATATCCTAAAGGGAATGAAAGTTTTGGCTGATGCCCGTAGAAAGCTCAGAATTGATTGGGACGATCCACGAAATGAAGGCAACGCTGAAAGTATTTTAACTCTTCAAGCTCCACCGAGGATCGATACAGAAATGTTCTTAGAGTACTCTGACAGTGTAAATCAACTCTGGTGTGACAGGGGGATTCGAGAGGCATTCGATCGAAGACGAGAGTTCCAACTGGTATGACAATGTTGTTGTGTTTTAGTAGTGATATATGCACGTTAGTTAGTCGTGTTGACTTGCACTTTGAGCTAAGTAGCACTCGTACATCCTATTGGTCTCGATCCATTGCTGCTCTTCGTGTTTATATKCAACGAGCTGGCTAGCTGTACCGTCGAAGTGCTGTTTTTCATAGCGACGTAAGGCAGGGCTAGCTCAGCTCATTAACTGGCCCGAGTACTTCAATTATTGCCGTGCAGGCAGCGTTTAAACTGCAGTATGAATGGACCTTTTTGAGATGTCCCTCAGAACACGATAGGTTGTGCATATACTTACAGACTATGATCCTGACTTCGAGCTGACCTTTTTRGAGCTGCTCTTTYTGCTTGCCGCAAGATCGAACGGTTCTGACTGTTKTACTGTTAATTTTGTGATGGCTCTCGCAGTCAAAGCCATTCATTTTCAAGACTCGAGCTATTAGCTGAATTTTTGAGCAAAGAGAGCAGCGAACTTCATGAATGTATAATTTGGTGTTTGTTTTGAAATCAAGGCGGCTTTCATTTCACAATACATTTCGACTTAACGCTGAATATTTTGTGTTCTTGCAGGGCGATTCTACCAGATATTTTCTTGATAATCTTGAACGGATATGCAGAGCGGTGAGTAATCTTTCTTCTAAGTTAGAAATTAATTGTATTTGTGTCTGTAATGAGGAGGGAACAAGACTGATGGTTCGACCCATTGTTCCATAGTAAACACGGCCAACAAAACTTCATCTTTCTAGAGATAGTAGATTCTCATTCTCTAGTGTATGCTGACATTCAAACGTCTGAAGAACCTAGATTATTTCGAACAGATTGTCCGATATTTGTAATATAATTAATAGTTACTTATGAGTTTCAAGGTGTTACGATGTGCTCTTTTCGAGACCAGCTCCCGTGTTTGTCCATCATGCCGACAGTGAAGGGATCTTTGTACTGCGTTTAGTGGGCTTATTTTAATACCTTGAAAATTTCCATTGAGACGGGCTTTTATAGCTGGCGGTAGTTAATTTCCCCCTCTTTATTTATTACAGAGAGCTTTTACTAGGCAATCTCAATGCCCTTGACGTTGACTAAAAATGATTTAAACATTTTAGAATCGCCCATTGTGATTTCTCAAACAATTTGAATGCTTCAAGATTGAGCGCAGCCTGGTCAATTTCATTCTCTAACGAAATTAAAAASACAAAAACACAATTTTTTTTGAGAGTTGCCCGCGTATGTATTATCCCCAATAGTCAATGGATTCTGCGAAGTATAAGATGCCCATGTTCATTTGGCGGTTTGTAAGTCTAATAATGCTGGAAGGAATAAACGTCTGGTGTWGTTGATAAAGCGTCAAAAACGCTCTCTCATTCGCCCATCCCTCTCAATTTGTCTGCCATGTTTTTCACGATTCATAAAGTGGATATGAAATGATTGGAATGTACGAACAACGTACGATCGAATGTTTGAGCTCGTCTTCACGCCCAAACTCTACATAGACAGTACGAACCTTATCCTACATTAATCTCAACGACAATGTGGGAACGATATTAACTCCATTTTCGAGTTAAATATTTAGCTTTAAGAAATTGCTGCCTTGAGAGCTTTCAATAGACTGTAAGCCTGTGGCACACATTCCTACATGTACTATAGGATGTAAAGAAACCAGACACAATCTCTTTACCATTCGCTCTTTGCTATCTACCAGTATTGAATGTGATTTTAATTTCCCATTACCTAAAGCCACCGAGTCATTCTGCCATTAGTCATAAATTAGTTTTATAGATATTCAATTCGACATTTTAAAGTAGATTCGATTTTGTCGTCTAGACCTTACGACCCGGTGTAACCGTACACTCGGTTGTAAAATAACACAACAACGCCCTGCTCAAAAAACAAATTCACTCTGGAATGTTTTTCTTTCTTCTACCTTTCTTCAGTATAAAACACCTCTGGACAAGGTGTGAAGAATTTCTAAATAGTTTAAAGTAGAAGTAAATAAGTTACAAGTAYATCGTAACACTGAGAAGACAACCCTTTAACAATATACCTCTCTGGTCTCTGGTTTTGAGTTATCAGCCATTTATTTCTTATCCAGTAGTATTSCACAGAGACTAGAAGACAATATAAATCAAACATGATTTAGTAAAGCTGAATTCACATGTCCTAGTTTTTAACAATTGTAATTGTGTAAATTAATGTCTCAATGGATTTTTCATACAGTTCTGTTGAATTACAGTCACCATAACATATGCATTTTTCTTTTTTTGGTATATTCAGTCGGTTTTGGTACTAAAATATGATATATTAGCTACTTGTATTGTAGAGACAGCTCCCTGTGTTGTCAGTCATTTTAATAAAATAATGTTGAAAATAAAGTTAAAATTTTGATAATTCATATGAGCTGGTTTTATCCACTTTTTCTCAAATGTCTGTTGATAAAAATGATTTTCATAGCTGCTCAAAAAGGGTTTTCTTTGCCATCTGTTAAAGCAATCAGTTGCATCTTAAATCAAAAATTATAAAGCTGTGATTATATATAGGCGCCACTCCTGTGGCTATCTCTGTTATGATTTTGTAAAAAAATCTGCGTTTGTGAATGAATTCATATCACTTAAAATGCTTATTTATTAATTACCACAGAAAAGTCTTTAATTCAAAGACATGTTTTCATTTGAAATTAATAGAGGTAAAGTAGGTATCCTTATTTGTTTTCTACACTCTAATTGGAATGATATTCTAGTCTTGTTGAGAACTGCTTGTCGTAATGTGAAGACCATTTTATGAAATATGCAAATATAATCATTTTCATTTCCCTAAACAAAACAAAATTGTACCAAATTAGAAAACTGTAAAGAATTTTTGATAAAGTATTGTGATTTGATATCATTTAACAAATTCCAGAGTAGAGTCAAAGAAACAAACAGACAATCACCCTGAAATTACATGGTTTTTAGTCATATATGGAGTGAAATTTTATACAAGACGTATATGGTAGAATGTTTTTGTTTATAATACAATTTGAACCAGTTCGAATGATGGTGAGCCTGAATACGAAGATTTTTAAACTATATAGCTCTGTGGAGTTTGTTGAAATAAGGTTTGTTATTGTCCATGTTAAAAAGTGAAATGTTTTTTTGTAGTTTGCTGTTTCATTAGAATTTTATATTTTTATATACAATGAATACTAARTATTGTGATACTGCATTGTATATTGTCCAATATCAAAATGCATTGTTGTTATTGGATTTAAAGTAAGTTGCTTTGAAAAATGACAATTCTTAATTTTTCTCCATCAAAGGAACATAGCTGGCATAGCCACTCCAAATCACTGCAATTCCTCTATAGWGACATGACAACTCAAAATGCATTTCAGTATTGGAGTACATTATYTTCCGTGCTCAGCAGTTTTTGAAAATAGCTGATATATGTATTTCAATATGTGTTGATTCTTGGAAAATGAAGTATTTAGTGTTCACATATAATCATGTATATTCTGTCTGACCTATTCTAACATTAGCTACTGAGAATTGCCGCATTTCAAGCATGTTTTAGTATTCAATGCTAAGAAATCTCRGATGCGTTCACAATTCCTGTTGGTCTGGAGATAAAGTTTTGGTGGTGTAGGCATACTAAGTTGATTAAAGTGTGTACTGCGGGTTAATTACATTTCATTATGCATACACATTTAGTTATGCTGGAACCAGGGAGACATGGAATCCTAGGGGTAGGGCACTAGACTTCAAGTTCCTTTCTCAGACTGTATATGAATTGGTTTATAAATAGGTATGAGAATTCTTCGGGTAATACAGGGAGAGTAGGAGCACCCAACCCTACTTCTGTTGGAGCTAAAGAGAGGAGCCTTTTTGTGTTCATGGTTCCTCAGTTTTTGTACTTTTTAGCTTAGATTCAATACTCTGGATATTATTAATTATTATTAGAAATAATTCTTGAAAATATCACAATTCCTAACTGAATTATTTGTATCCTCCAGGATTATGTCCCTACCAAGCAAGATATGCTCCATTCCAGGAAGGCTACAAAAGGCATTGTGGAGCATGAGTTCATCATTAAAAACATCCCATTCAAAATGGTCGATGTTGGCGGCCAGAGATCACAAAGAGCCAAGTGGTTTCAATGTTTTGATGAGGTGACATCAATTGTCTTCCTWGTATCATCCAGTGCTTATGACCAAGTCTTGATGGAAGATAGAACAACGAATCGCCTGGTGGAATCCTGCAATATATTTGAGACAATTGTCAACAATAAATTCTTTGCCAATGTCTCCATCATCCTGTTCCTCAATAAAACCGATCTATTGACGGAAAAAGTCAAACATACTAGCATCAAAGACTTYTTCCCAGCRTTCCAAGGAAATCCTCATAAGCTTGAGGATGTGCAGAACTTTATATTACAAATGTTTGATAGTAAGAGGCGTGAAAGGTCAAAAGCACTTTTCCACCACTTCACCACTGCTGTAGACACAGAAAATATCAAGTTTGTCTTCCATGCTGTCAAAGATACCATTCTACAGGAGAATCTGAAGGCCTTAATGTTGCAATAATGGGAGTACATAAAGATGTGCTATTAGATGAAATATCCTCTATTTTAACAAAGAAAACAACAATGAACTCAGTGCAATTGCTCTGATGTTATTTGTGGTACTGCGAAAGTCAAACAAGATTGACATTATCACAGGGGTGTCATGGTAACACCTAATGTCCTCAGATGGCTTTGAGTTACATGGATTTTATACCCATTATATGTTTCACAAGAGACATTATTTGGTGGCTGTCATCACAACACTAAAYGTTGTACTGATGTACAAATCTTTTCATTGCCAAGAACTTTGCTTTTATTAATATTTTGTTTGCAATTGAAATCAGGTGAAGTATTAATAGGAAAAAGAGAATTTGAAGCTGTGATYTCAGTGGGTAAAAATCTTGGTTTCTCTGGGGACAAGCCAAAGAACCMCAGTTTGTTATGGCTTCAAAGATTTTATCGTTCATGTAGTTATTAATTTTTATTATTATGTGGAAGTGTTTACATTTCATCTTCTAAAAAACAAGTTTGCATCAATTGTATATGTTTTATCACTTTTAGTTTGAGTTGCAGAAAGTACAATTACCAYGGTTTATTCTCATATAGGTTTTCGTTTCTGCATGTAAATTAGTTGTGCAGTGCAAAAATGTTTCTACTTTGCTTGGAAAAAATGCATGAATCTATGCCAAGTCTCTAAAGTATATACTTCGGACTAATAAAGGATTTGTTTTATAATACTTGCTGAACTATCAGCTCTGTGACAAAGTAGATAATTCAACTAAAGAATCCACAAGAGTTAGTGTAGGGAATTTTGAAAAGAAATTGATTTGAATTTATGTCTTTAAAAGCAAGGAACTGTATGTACATGGTAAGAGGTGTTCACTGGAAAAAGTTCTGTGAACTCAAAAGTATTTGCTGTTCATGATACCTTGTAGATAAATAATAGAGTGCTTATTCACTATGGCTGTGAAATGAAATGTTAAAAGTTCTGCCTAATAGTTTTTAGTTACAGTCTTAAACAACAGGATTKTATTTAGAGGGGAGTATAGGATGGGTGCCTGTGACTCCTTATCAAAACAAAAAAATTAAAAAGAAAGAAAGAAAATATTTGTTTCGACAACATTTAGCTTCTATAAAAGCTATGTGCTATCAACAATTTTCATCTTATTTYGTTGACATAGTGAAAGCACAAAATTATCTCTTTCTTATATTTTTATGTCAAAAATCACTCACTAGAGTGGACAAAATAAATGTGTATGTAGTTGAAAGTGGGACTTCAAGTAGTTATTGCGTATTTTATTATTTCTCATCTTCCTGACAGTACATTATTTTACCTTGCAGAATTCCTATATTGTACAGAGTGTTCAGCCTAAATTTTTAAAGGAATTTTAATTTTTATATGGAACTTTGATAATGGAAATGGGGTAGAATAGACATGTTAGTTTATGATTATAAAATACCTGTAATAAATTATGTTATTATTGGTGTATATTCAATATAAAGAGTTTTATATTATAATATTAGGAAACTGTGGTTTAGTGCTGGTTCGTTATTTATGAACATTTTTCTTGCTTTATACATTTATGCCTCATCACCATAGCGACCAATATCTCATTCCTTTTTTRTTACATTTATGTGAAACAACACTTTTAAACAGAGAACCTATTAAGCCACCTTGGGTCATCATTGATCAGGCCACAATATTAACACTGCAAACAACACATTCAGTTCAAGCTGAATTGYTGGAGCAGTACAAGTTACAACCAACATCAATTATAGTTTACACTTTCTTAATGAAGTGTAAATGGTACAATAATGCTAGTCATTTTCACTTTCTGTAAGTATTATATTGACTTTATATAATTGTGGATTTACTGAAGTCTAGTTTGACCATGCAAAATAATCATAGTTCTGTTGACTTCAAATTCAAGTTGGTCACATTTGTGATACAATCTTGACTTTAAAAGGGTTTTAGATCCTCTCAATATTTTTTTTTTGCGCTTTCTAACAACCAATTGTTTTGTAGTTCAAATTCAATTTTTTATGAAAAATTTTCAAAGAACTTATATTGTTGCACCTTTCCAACTTGAGTACAGTAACCAGGGGGGTGTAGGATTACCACTTATTTTTGAATATTGGATAATATTGGAATACTACTAGTATTGTATGTAACTTACCACATGTCTTTGAGTACAACAACAAAAACATTTTTTTTATGTTCTGTATAGATTATCAGACTCTTACTATGTACTAGTAACTACTCACTATTGCTAAACTATCAAATACTGGCTTTGAAATTATCCTTTTCTCTTCGGAGTGCACCCATAACWTCTACAGGGTCTGATTTGCCAGTGTGTTTTTTGACACTTTCTTCTCTGAAAGAAAAGAAATGGGACTGTAAATAGGCTGAAGATCGAGTAAATCATGAAAACAATGACCTCACAGTATGGATGGGTTGCCCGTGCTGATAGGCTACTGTCATCACCATATAATAATACAATTTTCCTAATTAAGAATTGTTGATAGCTATTGACATRTTATGCTGTTGTGGAAAATCACTTATCATGAAGTGGTCTCCCTGTGCTTTCAAAATAGTCCACAATGTTAAAGGCCCAGTGTGCACCATAATGCTTTGGGGGTCGTGAGGGCCATTTTCAGTTTACTGAAAGTCTATAAATTGTACTGTAGGTGTTTCGAATCTTTGACCATGTCACTTTTTAAAGTTTAAAAATGCCAATAAATAGTTTTCAACCATCTGAAATTCGTTTTATGGTGATATTTGGATATACTAGAAGTATTTTGGTGTAAATCATAACAATAACAGAGGTGCACAAAGCATATGGTGMAAACTGGGCYTTTAAGTTGGWTGCCACATCTTCATGTAGCCAGGGAAGCACYCCCATATTTTGAAGGGCGGGGATGATCATCATCATTTSGGGGRGGGGGGGGGGGGAATAAAATGGTGACAAGCAGCTGCTTGAAGTTCATGTAGATTTGTTCACTTTTAACCGGTGTCTGTGTTAGATGTAAAAATCTTGCCACGCCCACTTTCGTAAGCCTGTGGTATCCATTAGGGGTATAAATATTATAATTTCCCAATATCATTACCGCCTTAAATATGAGTCTCTCCCTGGGCATCAAGAGGGGCTTGATTTACTGGTCATGATGCATACGCCAAGAAATAAAAACTTTCTAATATCAACATCTTGTTTGAATATGTCAAAGAACACGTCTTTTTTAAGCGCGATTGTCCGCATGTATACGCGCGAAAACGCAACAATAACAGCAATGCCGAATTGCGTAACCCGTAGGGGGATAACATAGTTCGAATACATYGTAAAGGTTACGATTCMACCACGCTAAGACATTATATTTACGTCCGACATCGACTCATATTCAAGGATAACAGCAAGACTGAATTCTTATTATTGATAAACATCGGCACGCTCTCTAAAATTCGACTATAATTTCAAACTGCGCATGCGTACCAATATTATTAGTAGATTGTTCAAGTCCCTAGTGAACGATTTGCGAACCTGACACGAATCCAGTAATTTTCGTGTTAGAAACTCAGCAATTGTTCAAAAATTGAATTAGAGGTTTAGAACTATGGCGTGCGGGTTCATTTGATACTCGCCGGGAATTCTTCAATTTTTTTCTTTCGGTTACTGATCATCTATAAAAAGACATTTATTAACCTAGCGCGCGGTCTAGATAGAAAAATCCAGACTGCGGTAGGAAGTACAGATTCTTGTCTTTCATTTTTTTTTTTGATTAATTAATTACCATTTCATTATCATAGCTTACCAAGTATCGTGGTATTATCGACTGGCCTTTTCCCCATAAGAACGAAAACATCAAAACCAAGTGTTTCAAGAAACATATTTTCTATAACCTCGCAAGGGTTCAGAGTTCTATTTCAAAACTCAAGACGGCGATTTCTAACTCGCTAAAACACTTTTGCTTACCCACAACCCCATTCGATCTGACAATAGCTTTTGAAGTCGCGCGCCCGCGAAACTGGTAAGCGATTTTTTCTTTGTAACACCTACCTCACACGCATAAAGGGGTTGAACTGGAATTCTTCACCGATTGTTGATGGAATAGTCGGCTTATTGTCTTGTCTTGCTTTCTGCAATTGTATATATGACATATGTTAAGTTAAAAAATCTACTCGACTACGTGATGAAAACTCTCTGAACCCTCTTGCCCGATGCACAAAATATACTTTTGAAAATAACACAAGAAAATTCCGAAATAGATGCGCAACTTCAATGGGATTTGATTGTTAGGAAACAGATTTTATAGCAAACATATTTTCTGTAATAGTTAATGGCTTCAGAACGACGACAGACATTAATGGCGATAGTTATAAATCCTCATAAATAGATTGCCCGAAAAGTTATTTTTGCGTTCAAACAGGAAATTGATTTGATATATGATACGAGGGTGAACTACAGTCTAAATTTAACARTTATAGACTAAAATAGGTCGTCTATTAATGAATTGCAGAGAGATTTAAGAAATCGAAACCAACAACTGGGAAAGAAACAAAAAAAATTACAGTGAAAGAAAAATCGAAGAGTAGCAAAAGTAGAAGAGTTGAGAAAAGAGGAGAGAAAGAGGAAAGAAACGAAAAAAAAGAGAAAACAAAGGCATTGGTAATAGAATAATAAAAATGGGAAACTGAAAACAAAATTAAAAAAACAACAGAAAACAAAGGATGTGGCGGACAAGTGCCGTTTCGGAAATCGAAATTTCTCTATTGTGTTTGTGTTTTTAGTATTACATCGACAGTAATTAGTAAGTATACAACACAATAATACAACCATCTTTATTATTTAGTWTTTTTGGAAATACTACCTCCCCTCAAGCGAAAGTCAAATGGAAAGGTTAATGGTGGTCTGTTTGTGTTCTCTTTTTATCAAAAATATTTGACAGCAGAAGTAATTACGATGTATTGCGCCCCTGGGCAGACGTAATGGAGACAACATGTGGAAGTTGCTAACAAACTGCGGGCTTCATTAGCAGTCAGGGGTTGATTACAATKTGAAAACATATTACTACATGTGCAATTAAAATCGGGAATACWCTGCGTTATAGAGAGAAGAAAGGAGAATAGCGTTTCCAATCAGATGCGCATTTTCCCCCATCATATTCCGATATTTTTAAACTCGTATTCATTTTTTGTACGTTACCTAGTATGAAAACATTAGAAAATACTCGTGTTTTCATATAGTGCCGCTATATGGATAGTCAAAAGGGCACAGTTCAGGTAATGTAAACGAAGTTCAATTTATTTATGAAATAAATAAATCTTTCCTCAAATCTGTTAGTCACTCAATGCCATCAGTACAGATATCACCATCATCATCATCATCATCACCATTATCATCATCATCATCATCACCATTATCAGACTGCAATCATTATGACAATCTTCATCTTCGGCATCAAGCCATTACTATCATATCATTAAGATTATAACAATTAAGGAATAAATCAGTTAACATGTTTTTGCCATATTAAAGCCAAACAGCAAGCAGGGCTTACAATAGGCCTACAACAAGGCTATCTGGCAGTCCAAAAGTATATTTACCTGAGCACTGGACATTCTTTCTTTGACATGAGGGTTATCAGGTTCTACATGTTGAGCAAACCGCAGGTTTTGAATAGTGTATTCRTGTCCACAGTAAACTTTCTAGAGAGAAAATTTGTACAATTTAAAACATTCTGCAAATTCTGTACATCAGATTTTTCWAATAGACAAACTAATAAATTTTGAGGGGAAAGATGACCTAAAAAGACTAAAATAGTAAGGAGGACCTATTACAGATTTAGGAAAAGGGGGAGGGACCTATAAAAATAAAAGACTGAAGGGTGGATGATGGGAGGAGAGGGTAAGGGGGTAAACAAATAAAATTTCAGGGGGGGGGAGGAGAAGGGCACCCTAATAAAGATTAAGGGGGAAAGGGGGGAGGGGTTAGAACCTACTGTATTAGAAGGTAGGCTTCCTAGGACTTCAACAAGTGCTCTGTACATTTCTGGTGGAGTCCCTTCAAAGAAACGACCRCACCCTCCACTGAACAATGTGTCACCTATGAACAATCATATTAACCAATTTTCATAAGATGACAACCACAACAAACTTTGTGAAATATTTAATAAACATAAAATAATTTTCCCAAGTAAAATGTATACCTGTAAATACAGCATTAGGCTGGTCATCGTCCCCCYTGACTAAATAACAAATGTGTCCACTGGTATGACAAGGAGTAAATAAACATCTMACATGAAGACTTCCAACCTACAACAACAGAATTTTTGATCACTTCAATTATTACACAAGGTAAAGTTTCATGTTACGTCATTAAGAACACTCCAGCTTTCTATGCATCTGATGATGAAGATTATTATTAGTCTCCATTGTAACTGGCTCTAGGTTTGCTAAGTGGAACAAAAGATGGGGTGAGAAGGCGATGTGCAGAGACAAGAGAAGTGGGGCCCATTCCTTTTMTGTTCTCATAACAAAGGAAACCCAGTTTGAGAAACATACAACTTGAGTTACCAGATGATTTATGATTTCCATGTAAGTTATTAATATAAGTTTGATGAACACTATGTCTACACTATTGTGTTATACACATTACTTATAAAAATTGTCTACACTATTGTGTTATACACATTACTTATAAAAATTGTCTACACTATTGTGTTATACACATTACTTATAAAAATTGTCTACACTATTTGTGTTATACACATTACTTATAAATATTGTCTACACTATTGTGTTATACACATTACTTATAAATATTGTCTACACTATTGTGTTATACACATTACKTATAAAWATTACCTTGAATTGATCATYATGTGAAACCTTTTTATTCAAAGCACCAATTCTGTCATCACCACCACAAACAATTAATCCTTGAATGAGTTTTACTAGATCTTTATTTCCTCCAGCATGGTCCCTGGAATGTAATAATACTGTTAAGTGATAAACAAATCAATTAATAAATGTAAAGTTACATTAAAGACAACCTACAGCATTATAACAAAATGCACATACAATGAAATTGTTTGTAGTGCAGTATAAGAGCAAACTTTGGCATGAAGTGTTTGACATTCAAAAGTCTTGTAATGAATACAATACCAATGATGATGTGTAGTCAATACTGTYGTCAGTTTGACGTCTTCTTCTTTTACAGCAGATACAACCTTTAATTATAACAAAAGTCAAAAGTCTTCTCATGGATGACAGTAGAACCAATCAGTTTGCTAAGTCAGTACAGTAATTCCAAAATTTGTGAGAAACATGAAAAACTGCTATCCAACACACATATAAAATGAAGTGTACCTTTTCAGGTTCAACAGGATCCACTATAGCAGCTTCCTTTGTCTTTTCGTCAATTAAAAGGTACATGTAGTTATCTGACAGCGCGGGAAGTAGCCTCACTTTCATGTCGACTTGGGATGTGATGACCTCTTGTGAATGTCTTCTAGTTTGTGAAATGGACGCTGTGAAATGTGGTTTAAGTCTACTTGGGCTTGTCTGTTCTAAAATGTGTATAACAAGGCAATACCTCAATTAATATATTTTTCAAATCTTCTGCAAAAGAGGACGAAAAGCTATCTTGATTCACTGGAAGGTAGTCTGACTTGTACAGATTGATGCTGGTAAGATTTTGATCAATTTTAATACATTTCAAATTTCTCTCTATGAGGTTAATTGCGCATTGCAGCAAATTTAGCAAAATTTGTCTGGTGGAGGGATGGAGGAACATCTAAGCTTAATATTAAAGCTAAGGTTATTTGGAACCTATGGAAAAAGATAAAAATGCAATTAAGTAAACTTATATCTTTTTTTCTTTGATCGCATACCTTTCCCGATACCAGTTAGAAGTGCAACTCTAAGCTGTGTACTTGAAGTTGCCAAATATTTGTTGGAAAACTTAAAAACTTTGCTGCAAACTCCCGWGAGAGGAAACATTTGAATACTTTCAGTCAAACACGAGAGAAAACTGGTATTGACTAGTTCCAAGCGCGCGCACTAGAMCAAGGAACGCCTAGTGGATATGAACATATTGTGTTRCATCATCTGGAAGAATGTAAAACATTTTGATCGATTCGGTCGTCTTCAACGCTWATATCAAATTTGCCATAAAGATACAATGGGGATAGATTTAGAGAACTTTGATTACAATGTTCCCCAAGAGTTTCTTTGTCCAAGCTGTCGCAAAGTGTTTCATTTTCCCTTAGTTACCGACTGTTGGCATATTTTGTGTACAAAATGCTTCAACAAAAGACACAAAAAACGCCTCAAATGCCCAGTTTGTGGTCAGACAATGGGAAATGGAGATAAGAAATTGGATAAATCTTGGCTACAACGTTATGAAGGGTTAAAAATGAACTGYACTAAAGGATGTGAAATGGCAATCACTGTTGGTGGCCTGGACAACCACATAAACAATGAGTGCCCYCTTACCTTCACAATTTGCACTAACATGGGGTGCTCCAAGAAGGTCAGAAGRCGGGATTTATCCCAACACCTAAGTGTTTGTGATTACAGGCTTCTAGATTGTGAAAATTGTGGTTTTCGAACCCAGTTTTTAAATTTGAGGACTCATCAGTTGGCAMGGAAATGTGGAATGAAGAGGAATCTACATACCATTGTACAGAACAGACGAGAAATGAATGCTATAGTCAAACAGCATAAAAAAAGAGTAGATCAAGAGACCTTTAAGAGAACACTGAATGAAAGAGAGCTAGAAAAGACAAAAATGTKGTCTGCAATTTACCGAAATAACCCAAACAGACCTGTGTCGCGCAGCCCCAGTCCAACAAGGATGGAGGAAGAGAGAGCCTCSACATCTCTCAGCAGACTAAGCAGTTATTCAAMCAGGTTACAGTCTAGCAGAAGTGGTGCRTCTCCAGACACTGCAATGTTATGCATGAACTGCAAGAAGCTGTTTGTTGACGATGCTAACCACGACCAGGCCTGTCATTGGCATGTTGGGGTAGGATTTCTGGCAGTGGTATATCTATTGAGTGGCCACCTTCCAGACTTTCCAAAGTGGAAGTGTTTTTAATAGAGATAAGTAACTGAATATGGGTCTGGACTTGCTAGAGTATGATCACCTGAATAGAAAGGGATTTTTTTAAAGGAGGGTGGTCGCTTAATAGGTACCCCATGACATTAGTCAAAAGGCCATTTCATGTACCTAGTGGTTATTGAGTTTATAAAGAAACTTGGGGAATGGAAGGGAATATTTGTATCTTAAATTGTGCCTTAAACTAACATTATTTCTTTTCTCCTATGCAACGTCATTATWTAAACCAGCCGGTAAGTAATTTTGCATCATTACTATAACATGGGGAAACAGTAGTTCTGTATTTAAAGATATAAACATAACTAATTTTTAACATAACATAATTTTTTTTTATTTCCATGTTTGATTTAAAAGATCGTAGATGTGGTAAGCAATAATTATATTTGTGTTGTTTGTCTGAAGTTTTATAATCTAGAATGACTATTACTCAGTTCCTCTGACCAATGAAACTTCAATCCTTATGCACAATGTTTAATAATACCAATACCAATAATATTGCAGTCCGTCAATGCTGAAAACTTAGCTTTTTTTCTGTTTCTTTTCATGTTGACTCAATTCAACTCCATCAGTTTGTAAGTATTTCAATCATGCTGTAAATCCAAAAATTTGAAATTCCAATTGTACAAAAAAATTGATAAATATTAAACTATTTTCTTCTCTTTTTCATTTCGTTCATTTGATGACAAAAGGGGGTAAGTTATTTTTTTCTCTTTATGATATTGATTCATGTTGTCTCTCTTATAATCATCACCAGTGGGGAGCAAGGATGGCCGAGCGATTAAAACGCCGGTCTATCACCGCTGTGATCCTGGTTCGATTCCCGGTCCGGGACTATATGTGATTTGAGTTTGTAGGCTGGTTCTCTTCCTTGCTCCGAGGGTTTTTCTCCAGGTCCGCTGGTTTTCCTCCCTCAGTCAAAAACTAGCTGTGAGAAGTGTCGTGTAGTAAAATAGTGAATGTTGAGGTAGTGAC